CAGGAACCGCTGCAAATGTATGCTGTAATTATCAGTAATAGCTGTAAGCACGCACTTTATCTCTTCCATCATTTTAAGCATGCATTGCTGTAGGAAGAAGTCAAATAAAATGTTGTAGGAGATTGATGAAAATTGTCATTTATTATTATCAATTGTAAATTATCATTATTATTGACAATTACGAAGTCAGTGACATGTAATAACATGTTAACATGTGAACATTAGAAAAACCATGTATGAATTTATTAGATTTCACTATCAATGCATACCATGGTTTGTGTGTGATACTTTTCATATATCGGAATGTTACATAAAGTCACCCCAGAAGCATGATTTAAGACGGAACTGCAAGCACTAAGCTAAAGCTATCGCTGTGTCGTAGATTGTTGGAGCACGAAGGATGATAACTACGCTGCCGAGTAAGCATGCCGTAGTGAATAAAATCAAAAATATTCGATCCATTACCATCGATATGTATTTCCAGTCATCTGTCACCTATGAATATTCAGCATAACTGTTTTTTCTTCTGAGTTAATGTTTGCTACCTTATTGTGTGACAAGCTAAGTATCGACTTTTATCATACTATGCTTCATAGTTTAGCTTCATTTCTCTAATGATTGATCTGAGGTTTTGATTTTGACACGATTTCATATATGAATCACCAAAGGAGATCTGTAATCACTAGATGAATTTTTGTAGGCAGAATTTTCGTAAACAATTTGTAGATGTGGTACCAAGAATTTTTGTTTCATAAAATTTCACGAAAGGATAAAACCTAAAAGTTTCCAAAACTTTTAAGGAAGCAAATTATACTAATTTCTTTGTTCTTCCTACTATTAATTAATTTTATTTTATCACAATGAATTTGATTGTATTAATGGATTGTTATATGTGAATCACTTGTTGTTTTCTAAGAGCAATGTGCAAAAATATATATAATCATGTCGAAAACCATAATCACCGAGAATGGATCCAAGCGAGTTTAGCCTATTACTCATTAAAAGCACTTGTTATTGGTACTGATCTATCAGATAAAGAATATTCTTTAATGTTCTGAAGTTAGAATAATCGTATATTACGGGCTTCTAAGGCCCGTAATATATTTTAGGTTTCGTTAGCTTATTTGAAGGCGAAGAAACAAAGATAGCGGAAGTGTAAATTTCAATCATTTTTTCATTGAGTCAATTCAGAAACGCCTGATTCTTAAGAGAGAGAGTTGTTCTAAAAGTACTTGCGAATAAATTTGTGCATTAAACTTTACCACCTCTCGGTCATCTTCATTTTCTTTCATGTGGTTGGCAATGAAGGTAACATCATCGACTGCGTCTTGCATGGTTGTTGATCTAGAATTCCATTGCCGTGAACAACCAAAAATTTGCGCATCGTATTGAGTAGAAGTTGAAGAAACATGTGTTGGACTTCGAAATTGTGGCTGTAAATTGGATAGTTTGATACCAACACATCGTTTATAGCAAAGTATTAAAAAGGAGTGTATTTTTAGTTCTACACAAAAAAAGCGATCAAAATATCAATAGTGTATAGACCTTTTCAAGGACGGCTGTCAATGCTGGTTCTTGATTTTTATGATCAGTCAGTGGTACCCTAAGACGAGATCGTCTTGTGATTACTTTCTGAAGAATACAGTATAGATATTCAATATGATATTAAATTGCAGTGTTTTCGGGAAATCCTCAGATCTTATATCATAGAATTTTGGAATTTTCTAACGTTTCGTTCAGAAAATTCACTTTTCTCAAATTTATGAGAACTTAAGGTTTTTGCTTCCTATATCGAAACTGCCAAAACGACACTTTTTACCTTCAAGTGCTTCTAAATATTTGCAAACACATTTCACTATTTTTTTACCAATTCATCGTTAGTATAGGTGACTTAATAAATACATTTCAAAATTACTATTACATTTAAACTGATCAAAGCATGAAATGTACGATAAGTTGGTTTTTTTTTCGCATATTTCATATTTGCCTTGCGTGAAAAAGATCTTTTTCAAATATTACCGTATTTAGGTTGTCAATACTAGCTGACTTTGTATCATTTCGTACAAGTGATGGTCGCTGCATGCATAAGTATTTAGGTAAGTACTGTATGAAAAATTTTTTAGCCCACTTTGGCATTGTATGTGTTGTTGGAGATCGGTAATGAACATTCTGTAGATGTACGGTTATTTTCACAAAACAGATTAAGAACATTGTTCAAAACTTTTGAAAGATTAAAAGCAATATAAGCTTTAGTGAATTATAGTTATTCTCTAAAATCTCAAACGTTTGCATACAGTTTCAACAGGTATGGGAGGTCGCTTGACACAAGTTCCACTTGGTAGAAATTTATATTGCATCAATAACTGATGTATTTTAAATTTTTACACTTCTGTAAACTTTTGTGAAAAATGACCCACAAATATTTTTCAGTGAGATCAAAGAAGATTTTGGTTTCTTTCAAATTTAATTTTTAATATCAATATACTTTAAAGAAGTTATGAGAAATATGTTGTGATGTGCAAAACAAATATTGGTCATAAGAATTAGATGAGGCATGCTTGCGGCATTAAAAACTGCTTACCAAAGTGACCACAGTGACTGTAACTGATAAAGTGACCAATACCATCGTAAAAAGTAAGTATTTCCCGATTAATGGAATCACCAGAGAAGTTGGTGGAATTATTTCAACTTTAAAAATTATTAAAACTCACATTTTGTTCATTATGAGCAACTCAATTAGCAATTATAATCTCTTCAGTTCATTTGTGATCAGAAATAGATTATTCAGGCATAAATTAAAATTCAAGTTATATAATTTTATTTATTTTCAGAATATTACTGATCATCGGAAGGTATTAATCAGTTTATAAATCAGAACCCGTTTGTTAATGTATGAAATGTTACTTATTTGCTAACTTTGCTTTAAGTATTGATCAAAGAAATTATAGGATATCTAAGTAAGCATTAATACTTAAGAGTAAAGTCAGCTAATTATCAACAAAAATTTTATAATTTATGCCTTCCTTTAGAACGTTCAGTAGCAGTTAAATTTTTTCATATTTCATGTTTGTCACATATTTCTGACGTGACAATTTTGTAAGCATGAAGATCACTTATAAAGACTGAAATTTCAAAAAACAAAGCACTTGCTGTTAAAATTCCAAAAATAAAGCAAAGTAAAGATTAGAAGAGAAAACTGAACTGAAAGATCCCAATAATTTTCATGGTAGAAGATAACATTCGTTATTTAAAAAATTGTATTCTTAAATTATTTCTAAATTCGATTATTCATTAGCTAAATCTGAAATACTACAAAGGTTCAATCCATGATTTGCTTTTGGAGAACAAAATTACTTGCTGAGTAATAAAAAAAATTGCAATTGTTTATTAGTTTCTACCGCAATAAGTCATTTTTGTTTAACTCTGATTATGAGTGACAACTAGGTTTGATTTTTTAAACTCCAAAATAAACTTGGTAAAATTTTCAGTTTCGAGAGATGCGAGCTTAATTAAGAAATGCATTAGTGATTATTTAACATCTATATCTAATGAACTGAAACATACCAAGTAATAAGAAAAATACAGTCAATGAGATTAGTATTGAGATGCATAATGAGATCTTTTCACCTCCATCAGATGGCAAGTAAAACACTAAAGCAGTCAAAAAACTGAAATAGATTCAGCAGCACGTCAATAAATAAATTATATAATGCTTACTTAAAATAAATTAGTCGAAAATATTGAGGTGTAAGAAGTAAAATTTCCACTGTCTTTGATTTAGGAAAAATTTAGTCACTAAAACTTCAAAAGTTGCCAATAAATTATTGCGTGCAATTAGTTTATGAGTAATTTTTGGCAGTGTAATGTGAAATAGAGAAATCAAATGTCTTACCTGATCCCAACAATTGGAAAAATAAGATTGACCGTGTAGAATAGTGTTTTCCGACGGAGATGAATTTCGTACGTCAAATCAATAAATGGTGACTTGCAACAAGAATAACTAAAGTAATTATTTATAACTTTTTCAACTGTTATTTTGTGAATATGAAGATATTAACCTTTTGTTCAGGTTTTGTGGACAGCTATTGTTATTCGTAAATAAAACTGGTATAATTCATAAAAAATATACTTGCCACCAAAAATTTATTAGTCTAAAAACCGTTTTTTATGACGTTTTCCAGGAACTCCGAGAATATCCCATTCGACACTTGGATAATATTCACTTAGGTCAATACCTAAATTTGTATTCCTGATTACCATAACTTACTTAAATGAGAAAATGGTTATTTTCATCTTTCTGCATTTATTTTGTTAAAATGTCATATTTTGAGTTGAGCTAATTTTTTTTACTATCTCATTTTTTAGCAAAAAAAAGACCTGTTGTATTATTTTTACCTTTATCAACGATCCAAACTGTCTCAACATATTCTCCATCAACGCCTACAGCAACTTCCAACTCTTTCCTCTCAATTTCTGAATCTTTGTGCTGCAAATCGACTTCTAAACCACCATAAGTCCATGAACCTAAGTAAAAAGTAATCACATTTTGAATTTCTTTATTATTATTATTTTACAGATTAGAGATTATTTGTGGTTCAAACTATCATCAACACTTTATATAGATCAAAAGTCTAAAACAAGTTTATTTTCCCAAATTTAAACTGCAATATTTCTGCAAAAGCCTAAAAAGGCTTACCAAATTTCATTTCACAAGTTTGCTCATCAAATGGGAACCATTCAACGTTAATTTGGCACATACTAGAATCATTTTATATTCAAAAAATAATCAATGATAAATCAAAAAGACATAAATTTTTTTGGTAAAAAAATTCAAGAGTTTGAATTAGCCCAAAAAGTTTTAAGATGTTTGCAATTAGTATTTCCCATGTGTTTTCATTTATTTTAATCTTTAAATACCAAATACTTTTGAATAAAATTTTTTTTATTTGTTCTGCATTCTTCCTCAAATTCAAAATTTGAAAATAAGTGTAATTTGAAGAAATGAAAGATTTTGTTTCAAAAACTATAGGGAACCTTTTATAAATTGCTGGTGGTACCCATTCTACAGTTCCATTTGGAAAAATTTTAGCTTTCGTAACAATTGATACTTGATAATTTCCATCAGCACTGTATTTATTACACATTAATATGTATTTTACAAAAACTTGTTGTCATAAACTAAAGATTTTTATGCATCTTAAAAAGCCTTGCAGTAATGTTTCTTGCTGTCAAATTGGAACTTCTTGAATTTTTTGCTGAAAAATTTCAATGAAAATATTTTTTTCAGTAAAAAATTTTTCATATTTTACGCATTCCGACGAAATTAAATTAAAAATAAAAAATAAAAAGAAACTTGTTGTAAAGAACAATATCAGGAATCCAAATCATATCTGAAGGAACGTATAGCACATTTACTCCTCCATATTCTTCAGGATCCCACTTCAGTTTGTTATCTGTCCAAGTCTGTAAGTCAAAGGTCAACTTTCATGCATGTCGAGTATCAGTTGCAGTGATATGAAACTTAATTAAACTGCACGAGTTTTCAAGCTTCATGGAAAAGCCAGGAAACAATTTTTGTAAGACAAATACACAAATTTCCTACAGAGAAATCAAGAAACAACTGCTAAAATCAAATAATACTTTGATGAGAAAAAGAAATTAAAAGTTATGTAAAGTATTCTTTCCGAATTAAAAGCAAACAAATGAGTACATGTTGAAGCCAAACATTAGTTGTCATTATTTGATTCTTTTCATGCTGAAAGTAAATAATTATTTTGCATATTAACTTGGAACATTCTTGCAGTTTGTTATAATTACATTGTGATGCTGAACTTTCAAAGATAGAAGTTAGAAGGATAAGCGAATGAATATTTAAACAATGTAGATGAATAATTTAATTACTGCTAATAAAAAATCAATATTTAATTAATGATGAACAGGTAATTTGAGTCCAACGGGAGAAAAAACGAAATTGGCATAAAAAATTGAAAACTGACCACATCAAGCAGCTGTGATAATTTCAATTTGAACCGTACTACTAATGCATCGCTTTTATTATCTACTGGTCGAACAAGTTTATTATAATCAGCTAATAAATCTTCAAACAAACGATTCGCATCAGCGTTTCCACTGACAGCAGGTAAAAGAATGATATACAAAATTAAAAGGTCAAGGGTCACTTTAGAAAGGTTGTAGTCATATTTTGTAGCAATCATTTGTAGTAAGTAACAGGATTAAAATGCCTGTTTTTATCACCCATGTAGTGTATGCAGATTTTGTCTAAAATTGCACTTAATGAAAAGTATTACTACAAGTACAGAGCATTGATGCGAAGTTAACGCAAGACAGAACTTTGCAGAAATAAACGAAAAACGCAAACACAAAGACCAGAAGAAGCAGTGCTTTAGGCCAAAAATTTTAGCAAAAAACAAAGTGAAGTGACGATGAGAAAAAAGGCAAAAAGATGCTTTTTATTTAATCTCTCTTCATTACATTATATATATATATACTTTTGGGCAGCAAAATAAAGCTAAGCGACTAGACTGGACTCTTTGGTAGTATTACTAATATAACTAATGCCTCTGAGTTAAGATCGATTCGGATTTCACAGGATAACACAAGTCTTTTCTGGTTCTGTTTGATCAAACTATTTCATATTTTCTTACCTTTCATCAAGATCAAAAAAACATTCACTGAATACGTACATACATACATTTATATATATATAATTTTTATATTTAACACTTGTTTATAGAAAAATAGTGCTCTATATGCAAAATGCTTATTATTAATCGCTTATTTTTTTGTTTTTGCAGTGCAATTACAGGCAATATTTTGTGTTAAAAGCAATATATGCACACAAAATGTTTCAATTTTCAAACGGAAACATGCAAAATTTTAGCCATTAGGAATAAATTTAAGCCAAAAATATCTATATTTGATGAAAGTTTTTCAAGAAAAATAAATAGCATTGCAGTATTCATGAATGATACTTTAACAATGAAAGCAATTCAAAAAAAATTTTTTCTATTTATTTCATTTTTTGACAAGTTTTTTTCCGCTTATTCCATACCAAAAATTTGCGAATAAATTAGTTTTGAAACAAATAAAGAATAGTTTTTAAATTGAACACATCAAATATTTATGTTTTCGTTTTGAAAATTTGATCACTTTAGAAAATAAAAATAAAAAATATATAACACTTTGACTATTTCATTTTTGATTCTTTTGTTTTTTTATAGTTTTTGCAGTGAGAGAAAAATTTGATGGAGAATGAAGCAAAGAATTCATTGCTTGAAACCAAAGACAAGAATTTGGGATGGATATCTCAGGAGAAATGTTTAATACTTTGTACATGCATGGAATTTGTGAAATGTTTCGTCTTCTGCTTAAATGCTTAGATTGAAAATGGACAAGCTTTATTTATCAAATTGACGATTTTTTGTTTTCTTGCATTCACTTTTCCTGGGGTCAAAAAAGCCTTGAGAAGTAAGCAAAACAGCTCCACCAAAGCCTTTATGCTTCATTTGTTGATGCCACAAATCGGATAAGAACTTAAATGCTAACTTATTTCTAGTATTTCATTTTAAATTTGCACTGAATCCTTAATATATTTTCTACTTCAACGGTTACATTTTACATACTTACTTACCATCTAATTCATTTGATATCAAAGGTGATAGACAAATAAATTATTATGATTGATTTGTGTTATGAATTTAACTCTCTAACTTGACATTTTTCAAAGAATAAACTCAAGTTTCTACTTTGTAAATACTATAATTTATTTATGCTAATTTTTATTTACAAATTCGCACTTAAATCTTACTCTCCTTGAGATATTCTTTCAAGAATTTCATGCAAACTTGCATATTTCATTTAAGTGGATGATTTTAATAAATTTATCATATTATATTTATTCCATTCAATTCGAAAGTTAAAATACCTGATAAGTTTAAAAACATTTTTTACTTCCGAAGATTTGGTAAATTAATTTAAATTTTAAATATATACTTCACTTCGTTATTCTTCGTTTTCACATATAGTCCGCACGTCTGTATTCTATTTACTTATTTATTTTATTTATTTAGTTATTTACTTATTTATTTACTTCTTATTTATTTATTTATTTATTTATTTATTTATTTATTTATTTATTTATTTATATTATGCATTATATGCAAATGCGCCATAAATTTAAATATCCCAAATGAAAGTTTCCAGTTTTTCAGCAACAATTGCAACTGAATGAGCTAATGGAGCGCATTATTATAAAGCAACCAACCGTTTTCGATTCTGCCATCAAAAGCACTTTGTGGTACGTTTACAATGTATTTTGCGTTTTATTATTCATGTTATCAGTTTTATTATTATCACGTATTTTTATCAAAATTATTAAATTTGACTTGTTTATTTTGTAATATTTATCAACGAAAGACGAGAAAATTCATGAAAGAAACACACTTCAATTACTTTTCTTCACTTCCTCTTTTTTATTATTCATTATTATTGCTGATATCATTATAAATGTACAAATTAGTTTGCTCATTTCAAATTTTGTAATGATAATTTCAATTTTCCGTTTACTGTCAATACAGTTTTTATCACTGCATTATAAAGATTGATAAAAAATTGATTAGAATTAATAATAATTAATTGTTATTTATTGATTAGATTTTTTATCAATATTTATAATTAGCTAACGACCAAAAGTAATGTCGAAGCTTGTAAGAGACTTAGAAAAGGTAAATTTATAATTTTAGTAACAGAACAATAATACTTGGTAATTATAATGATAAATATAATAAAATTTCTTCAGTACAGATTACACTGCTATCATTTTGTATCTATTAAATGATAAAAAAGGTTGTGAATAAGCTACTACTAATGATAAAAGTTAATTGATATTAATAATGATGGATTTCATTCAACAGCTATTCACTGTAAAATAATAAATGAAATATGATCTTGTGAAAACTAGATGCTGTTATTAATAACTATGTAATAATAATGCCAACTTCAATAATGTTCGATTTACTGTTGAAATTTGCAATATAATTCTAGTTTTAATATTAACTTCCTACCATTTAATATTTTCGTATTATATATTTGATATAAATGTTGATTCAGTACTATGAATAGTATTTTTAGGACCATAAAATTTTGCCAAAAGTATTTCACAAGCAGTATTCAAATTACTCTGCAAAATTTCATAAAGTAATTTAACTTTGAAAATATTTATTTCATTAAATAACTATCAATTAATTGTATACAGCGTGTCATATTTTTAATTACAATACTTTTTTTTGCTAAAATATTTACAAATGTTTAATTTTTGCTTCTGTCAACAAAAAAAGCTGTATTGCATTACAAGCTTAGATAAGAAACATTTTTTTGCATATAAAAACTTTGTATTGCAATGTCAAATTAACGCATTGTTATTTATTCACTTATTTACTACTTAATTTGTGTGAAAAAAAAAACTAACCTTCTCTGCAAATATTAATTCTAGCAATGATTTAGTCAGTGTTATAAAAAACTGTTTACTTTCTATTATAAAAATATGAAATTACACTTTAACCAAACAAACAAATATTTGTGCTCCGAAAGGTTGACAACTGTGAAAAATAGTAAAAATACGAAATTGAAGCAAACATTCTTTTGCTCTTTTTTATAATCCTTTGTTTGTTCAGTTTTTTATAAAGTATTTCATTGAGAGATTTTTCGTTCAATGGTAGCATTTAAAATCAATTCGAGCAAATTTAAATTAGCCTGAAGAAAAGTACACACAAATTTTTTGTTTTTCATTTGATTTTAATCCATGCAAAGAAGCAGTCCGCTGTATAACACCACACTTTAGTTGCATTTATCTGCTTGATTTTATATGCAATAAATTTATGCTTAACTTACTTCAAAATATATCAAAAATTATTGATGTGTTCAGTTTAATCCATTGAAAAAATTTACTATAAATGCATAGTTAGTCTCATTATTCACTATTTCACTCTCATATTACCATAATCATGTTATTAATTATTATTATGAATTATGATTTATTATTATTATTATTATTGTTATTATCATTGTCATTATTAGTATTATTATTTCATTCATTACTAAAGTAGTGCTTATGGTAACTGACATAGTAATTGTCATAAGCTGTAAATGTACTGCAATAAATATTAAATTTATTTTGCCTTTATTTAATTAATATATTCTCATGTAAGTTTTCAATATTTATTTGTTTTTTGTTAAAAGGTAGAAAAACATCAAAAAATAAAAATAATCGCTCTAGAAAATTGTGATTAACTTACATGTACAAAAAAACTGCATCATACTTTGAGCTATAAATTTTTTTACGGAAAAAATGTCATTTTACTTTCATATTAAAAAATATCATTTATACTTGAATGAAGATAGTATATATTAGGTATTTATGGTGTGAATAAAGTATGAAAACATAGAAAAGCCGAAGAGTCGAACGTAAGGTAGTGTGTAAATTATTTTGATCAGTTTGAAATTCAAGTCTTAGAATGCACATTTTAGAAATCATAAGTGAATTTTTTAATATCTTAATTTGATAAAAATAGGAAAAGAAAACATTTTATCATTAAATTTCATTTATTGACTATCAGTCTTCGGTGAAATTAAGCTCATAAGAAAGATACGAGTAAAGAATTAGCTTATCGTTTTCGATAATGTGATTATCAGAGGAGAATTGTCTTAATAATCTATCCTTTTTGTAGATATTGCCAGTTTTCCCTCCTCAAAGTCCCAATACCAATACCATCAATTGTGCTCAAAGTAAGACAGTCTCATACCAATTCTACATATTAAAGCGGTTCAACTTCATCCATTACACTTTAATAGTATAATCAATTCTCATTAAATAATGTATGCTTATCAGATATATAAAATGTTAATTATCATTTATCATGATTACGATTATACTCAGCAATTATTAACTTTACAGTAATTTTTTCTTCTTTGTTAAACATTATTGATGAATGTCAGTTGCAACTATTAGCGTCTTTATGTTAAGGCAAACTATAAAAATGTATGAAGAATATCATATTTCAGTGTACATTATAAACATTTTATGGAATTAAACCGATAAAAAATTTCTCATTTTTATTCACGTAATTTTTTGATAATTTTTTTTATTATTATAGTTATTGCTGTTATTAATATTAAATATTTTGTCATCACCATGACT